TAATGCAGGAGAGGACTGCCTATGATAGACATTCACTGGGAAGGAAACAGCCACAGTGGTAATGTATAGACTCTAGAATTCAGCTGCACTACTTGTCCACAAATCCTGGTGGATTTTTGTCATTCCTCTGTAGTCAGTGCTCTTTTGTCCCATGCCACTTTATCTGCCACATCCTGATTGTATGAAGATCCACACACTGGTTTTTAGAATGTCCATCTGACAGGCTCTAATTATTTCTGATCTTTTCATTCTTGTCCAAACAATAGGTTACAAATTTTATTATTTTTCCCCTTAATTGAGAATAGTGTTTTCAGAAAGCCAGATGAACTGACTGATTTTCACAAGTTATATAGTGTGTTATTTCTTCATAGATTACCATGTAAGTGGTGTCAAATTGGCTCACAGTCACTTGTGTGTAATACCAGACTTAGAACTTTAGCTCTGCTGTTCTTTTTAACATAGGCCCCAGGGAAAACTGGCTCATACCAACACAGATTCTTCTGATAAAAAAATACCAGTAAGCCAATTTAATTGTTAAAATGTGAAGAGGAAATGACTAGTAGAAAGATTATAAAACATCTACATAAAATATTTTTTAAAGAAAAACGTCCCCTTAAAGTTGCATTTCATAAAGGATTTAGAAAACATTATTATTTCTTCCTGCATTTTTCAGAGCAGAAAAACCGAGGCTCTGACTAACTAACGGTTATCTACAGTCCCTTAAAGGAAATGTCAGAGTTGTGACATAGAGTTCAATGTAGTGAGAACATGGAAACTTTAACTTCTATGACACATAGAGAAGTCATTCATGCCATAGTTAGGAAAACTCAGTAATAGCAAACCACAGTACCAGGATACAGAACTGATTCTATAAGAGAGTAAAATGATTTAAGCTGCAAATTAGCATGGAAATAATTCATGTTTATTTTAATTGTTATGAATATTTAAGGTATATAACAGATGATGGACATGTATATAAAGTGTTTGCTATAATGAAATGAATTAGCAAATATACCACTTTTACATGTTAAGAAAATAATAACATCATTTGTACTGGGGGAAGATTTTTGGAAACACATTTATTTTCTTATGGCAAGAACAAATATTAAGCAGAAGCCTAGATTTTAATGATTAATTTGTGTGGCCTCCATGTCATACATTAGCTCTCTGGAGTTGTTCACCTTATATTTTTGTTGCTTTGGAATCTTTGTCTTGTGTCTTCCCAGTTTTTCCCTGTCTCTTGACACTGGTACAGAGAGAAGTATTTTCAAAAGATTAGCTTTCTAATGTATTGGAGGAGGATGATAATTGAGGTGTTGATGTAAATGGCTCAGAATATGTGCCAAGGCTCTACACCCCACTGTGTGCATGCAAAGAACAGTTCAAATTGTCTTGAAATTTACTTGTCAGCAAGGGAACAGGACTTCATAATATCAATAGAGCTTAGTCTTATATTTTAAAAATGAACTGTACCAACAATTTGTACATATCTTTCTTGTTTGTAGCTTACAAAGTAGGGTTTTTCTGTCAGAGTGTTTTTAACATTTTTTACCTTTTGGTACCAATTGAATCACAGATAGAATAATATTCATCTATTATAGCAAATATTCATTTTGTAATAATATTAAGTTCAATGTCATCTATGTTGATTTTCAAATGCCAATATAAACATGAAAGGTAAGATATTAGTTATTTCTATATGACTGTGAACCGGTACCTGACAACAACTTCTGAGTGTGAAGGTTCATTTTGGCTCTGGTTCAGAGAAAGTTAAATTCATCATGGTGGAGTAGAAGGTAAAGTGTCAGGAACACGGGGACCCAGGAGCAGAACACAGAGGGGAAACTAGGGCTGGGCATAACCTTTAAAGGTCATCTCTAGTGACTTATTTTTACCAGGAAAATCCACCTTCTAGATTCCAAAGTCAGTTCCAATCATAACACAGAAAGCATGTACTTTCTATTCGGGCTCAAGGTTGTACTCATAGAAAGAAAGGATCATCAAAATCATTTGTATTACTCCTCAACAGGCATTGTTTACAGGTTTTCTATTTTGTCTTATAATGTAGCATCAGTATTATTCTACTCAATAAATAATAACGCATTGCTCCAAATACTCTGGTAATCTTAATAAACACAAATAAGAAGAATTGCTTTTAGACAAGCATTATATTATATCACTGGAATGAAAAGAAGTCATTATTTGTCTTATTTACAATTCTGAGATAATTCTGGGGAAAAGAAGCACTTAAGTTAATACCACCTTTCAAAATTTCTTGTACATTATTTCATTTACTTAGCAAAATTATTGTCAGTGAGCATTAGCCCTTTTCAGAAACTTTATTTTCTTGGGAAATTTCTGATAATAAAATTGGCTTCAATGTTGAATATTTTGAAGGTTATTGTTGTACAAAGCTAAGTTCTTTGGTAAAATTACACATCCATTTATACTACTCATATGAAATACCGTTCTGCAACCATTGTATTAGCAGAATAGAGCATCAGGATTTTATAAACCAGACACATTTATAAAATCAAAATAAAAGTTACCTTTATAATTTCCTACAGAACATCTTAGCCATGAATCAGATATTATAAAGCATAGTTTTGTTATTGTCTTTTAGAATTAAGGTTAGAGATGTTGCTTTCTTGTGTTTCTATTTAATACTTGGATCCATGTTTTGTGTCTTTCAGCTTTTAATAACTAGTGGATGGTAACATTTCGTGCTTTGCTCCAGCTCTATTAACATATAATTGACAAATAAAAACACATTTGTTTAATGTATACAAACCTCTTTGTGTTTAACTCTTACACATGAAAGAGCTTGTCCTGAAGAATATTAATAGGCTATTTTATGTGACAAATAATAACATGTTAAAGGCAACTCATTTGTGATAACTTGAAAGTAGCATAAAGGTTATGCTAGTAAAGGTGTAATACTGTTTCCTCTTCCTCCATCAAGTCTTTATTAAAAACATATTGTACATACATACTTCTACAAATAATGTTAGTAAAAGTAAGGACCACAATTATAGGATCCACAGAGACAATAGCAAATGCAAAATTCTCTTCAAATTGACAAAATAATTACATTAATATGTAAACATCACAGCTACAGAAACACAATCTGATGACATCCTATGGAAGGCCTCACCATCCAGGGGGAACAGAAAAGATATGTGACAGATATAGTTTTAGTGGGAGGAGGGTAGGGGAGGACGGGTGGGAGAAGGGAACTGGGATTGTCATGTAAAACAATCCTGTTTCTAATTCAAATAAAAAAGTTGGAAAAAAAAAAGAATCACAAGTTAGAATAACTTAGAGAAACTATATAAACTTACATTCCTAATGACTTAAATCGCTTTATGTGTTGACAAAGGAAGAAACTAGAAGCATACCCCAGATTATGTGGTTTTTATAGAATAGGGATATATATATATATATGTATATATATACATATATATACATATATATGTATATATATAATGAAAAGTGCAATATATGCTCATGTATTTATATACAGAGATAAATAAAACATACAATTTGCATATTTATTATTATGTTTTTCTAGCACTTAGACATGATTATATATTCTAAAACAATTCTTCTGGGGCTGTAAAGTGCAATTAAATTATAACACTGTCTAGTACAATTTTAAATTTTACAATGGTTCAGGGGCATATGTATAATTTTTATAAGATTATGAAGAAAATACTACTTTATTTAATATATAACATACATAATATAGAGGAAGTTATGACTAAATAATGAAAAATGGTTCATCTGAGCACTGAGAAATCTGAAATCTGGAACAGTGTCTATAAGAATAAAAAAGCCCTTGCAGTCATTTCTTCTTTGTTGTTCCTGGGGATCTGGCAGGACTTCCCTAGAAAACTGGGGTCCTCTGTGTTCTTACTGGGACTCAAGGCATCATCAACCTGAAAAAAGAAGTGGTAAAGCCCAGGGTCTATTGTTTTTTCCTCCCTCTTCTTCACCCCCTCACAAACCACCACCTCACAACCATCCCACAAGCTTGTGGGTAGGATATACTTTGTGCTTGGGGAAGTGATTGTTGGTGGGGGCGTTGGGAATGAATTCCGAGAAGAAAGGTCCAGGGAAAATCCTCCACCACCTTTCCCCTGCAGACTTTTCCTCCTGCAGCTCCCTGAGCATGTCTTAGATACCAGGGCATGGGTTCCAGTTTTTCCGCGACACACACACACACACACACACCACACTTTGACCATAATCTCTATAATTTCTTTTCAGCTTTTTAGTTCCACTGTTGTATCCTTAAAGGCTGTGGCAAACAGCTCACTTTCCCTATGACACTCCCAAGGTCCCAGAGGTACAGTAAGGGGTCTCACAGTCTGTTGAATTTCAGAACTCCCAGGGGTCAGCTAGAGACCCAGGAGGAGTCATAAGCAAGGCAGAGATTGCTAGCTTGAGAATGTGCAGGAGAAGTCCAGTTGAGGGAAGTTCTTAAATGGAGAACTAGGGGATTTGATTTCCTAGTAGCTGCTCTCCTCCACTGGCTTAATCATACACACATTCAGAGCAGGGGAGGGTTTTTATTTTGTGTGTAGGGAGTCGGTAGGGAAAGCATTCTTGGCCCTCATTCCTGTTTGCCAAGATCAGATTACTTTTCACAGACTGGAGCTGGCTGGCAGGAGACGGCGGGGGGAGGGGGTACTTTAAAATCTTTTATGTGTGTACACCTTGTGTGGTTGGGTGTGGAAAGCAGGAAAAGGGGGGTTTCCAAGTCGAGTGAAATTCCCATCCCATGGTTGTTACCGTGCCTGTAGGGTTGGTAGGTTTTAGAAGTTGGCAAATAGCTACAAAACACAATAGAGTTCCCCGCTCTCCCCTCCCTGCCTCCTTCTCCTATTCTGCCTCTTCCTCTCTCCCCATGTCTCTCATCCCCCCCCCCATTCTCTGTTTTTTTTTTTTTTTTCCTGCTTCCAAACAGCAGCTTCTTCCAGGCCGAAGTTGGGCTGGTCTCCCTAGGAGCAGCAGCCACAACAATCCGGCAGTTCAAAGTTAAGCAGCAATTGCACAACTTCCAGCAACTCTCTCAGCCTGCTGCTAATGAGCTGAAAGCCAGGAACATCTGAGGTGGTGAAAAGGAAGCCTCCAGCCTCCTCATTTCAGCGGGGGACCCAGGCACCCCTCCCCAGACCCAGATCACTTTGATATAAGGACTGTGTTATTTGCTTGCCTTCCTGGACAGACCATGGCTCCCTTTGGAAGAAATTTGTTGAAGACGCGACATAAGAACAGGTAAAAAAAAAAGCTAAGTGCGTGTGTGTGTGTGTGTGTGTGTGTGTGTGTGTGTGTGTGTGTTGGACTCAGTTTCTTAAGTGTGAAAGCATGGTTCTTTGCACTTCGATTCTGATGGAAACCTAGCACTGAGGGGTCAGGTCTATTATGAAGACCCAGCTTTTCAGAATATAGGTCCTGTATTGATGATGGCAGCAGCCCTCACAAGGATCATGGGAAATCATGACTGACTTTAATTCTCTTTTCCCTTTCTCACAATCCGAGGTCACTCCTAACACCAACATTTTCTCTTTAAGCTGTCTTGAACTTTGGGGAGGGGGCAGGAGAGAGAAGAGTAACAAAATACATTTTTGTTTAAAGACCGGTGAATTAAGAATGTTCACATTTTGAAAAGGCTTCAAACTTTGGTAAAGATACAAGTAGAATTTCCAGCCACTTGTTAGAGAGGCAAAAGTACAACGGTGATATAGCCTGGGAACAATGCTTTGGTTTTCCTGAGAATGGGGCATTCCTAAAATGTGGAAATTTCCCTAGTAAAAACATTCCCTGGACGAACGTTTTATGAACTGTGTCTTTGAGAACTTTAGGTGACTTAGGCATTCAAAGAAGAGGCAAGCATCTGAGTCCTTGGATCTTCATCATTGCCATTTTACTTTGTCTTACTACATCAAGCCTTCATTAACCATGGCTTAAATACATGTACTTAAACCATAGATGAGACACATGGGGGAGATAAAGAGAGAGAGGTTGAATTTGGAATAATGGGATAGTATCCATATTTATATTTCAGTAATGTAAACGATTTTATTTATACCTCAAATATTACATTTTTATGCAAACGACACATGGGGGCTTTCCAGCCGCTCTTCTCTCCATTATGCCTGTTTGCACTTGTCATAATTTACTTAGCGTAAATTTAAACGGATACAATTACAAGGTAGGAAATGATATAATTATTTTAAAGTGTCTGCGTGATAATATAGATACAACTTTAAAGTAATTCTTCATGTTTTGTTGTATACACAAATACCTACTTTGCATATTTTAACACCATCCTAAATATATCAATATTTGACTAAATTTCTTTAAGAAACTAAAAGAGCAATATGTACTGTAAAACCTTCTCATGCACTTTTATGTCCTAATAACTTGACACTATATAATAAATGTAGTATTCGTGAATTAGGTATGTTTTATTAAATGTTAAGGTAGGATTGTGTCAGTGTATTTTAAAAGCTAGTAATACGTATTAAAACTAGACTTCTGTATTAGTGGTGGCAAGGTATATAAAAATACTCCAGAAAACCCACCCTAGCTGTCCATCCCCAATTCCATTGTTTCAATTTGATTTTTTCTGGTGCCACCACTATAGCATTTTTGCATTTTTTAAAACACTACAAAATTGTTTAAAAAGTATTTTGGAAAGGTCCAGTGTTTTAGCAAACAAGTTGTGCTCCTGACAATCAAGTGTTGTCTTCAGAATTTTTGTTTTCTGTGAAGTTTTCTTTAAAACAATTCAAGAATCACATCACTGAGCACCAAGCCTTTGAGTGAACCCCTGTGTTGCCTTTATCAAAGTGTGTAGTCCATTTTCCTTGTGTCACTTTTGTGACTGCACCTCTGGTCTACCCAAAAGACTAGCTGCCATTCAAGGTACCTACACAGACAAGTTTAGCATGGTATTTCAAATGCAAAATGGTGATGAAGAAGTAAGAACAGCAGAAAAACTGGAAGTTCATCAGCATTTCAAGTTTCTCAGAGAAAATAAAAAGGTGTTGCAAAGGGTCACGATTTATTATAACCTCAATTTGAGGGTGTGTGCAAAGGTGGTAATGAGAAGGATATGTGTAAGCTACTACAGTGATTGATTCCTTTTGCAGATTTTTGGTTTTTAACCTGAAGAAAAAGAGATGGAGAGAGAGAGAGAGAGAGAGAGAGGGAGGGAGGGAGGGAGAGAGGAGAGAGCATGGCTCAGGTCATTGACATAAATATATGAGTACGATAGTGTTTGAGACAGAACTCAGACTAAATAAGTCACGTTGGGCCTTGAGATGGATTTAATACAATGTGGGAATTTATATGAGGTCTTGTCAAGTGGGTTTGTCTGTTCACCTTTTCAAGATGAACCAAGAGTTAAAAATGACTTTCATGGTTAAAGTTATCCATTTCATTGACCAGGATCTATATGATTTAAATAACCCCACCCTAACAGCTAAACAACAAATCCTTTCACTACATTATGAGTCGATCAGCTGTTCAGTAGAAAATGTGATTGATAACATTTGATTGAAATATATTCTATTCTATGAGATATACATCTTATAGATATACCAATACATGTATATACAATTTATAAAACAAAAGGATGAATTTAAATAGCACATTTGTGTGTCATAAGATCTATAACATAATGAAGAGAATGACTTGAGCATGGTTGCATCTTTTTAGCCGGAAGAAATCCAGATTGTTGAAAAAAGTTGTTGGTCTAGACTGAGTTTCTCTTGGGGTTTGCAATTACAAAATTTTGCATTTTAGTTTTTTGCATGTCTTGTTACTTTTCTTCACTTTGAGTAGTGTTAAATCAAGCAAGCCTGGCCAACAAGAGATAGTCCTGTAACTGCTCAGAATAAGTACATACTTGAGAGTTTTAGACATTAAGGAAATATAATCGGAGCTGCAAAAGATGAGGCATACTAACTTTTAGCTAACAAGCTCTAGAGCTTGTGGAAGGTGGAGTCATATCTGTCTAGACATCATTATGTTTTCAGGCCTAGGAGAGTGCCTGGCATGTTGTAGACCTGTAATACAGTTGTTTGTTTAGTTTTGTGCACTAAGTTATAATTCTCCTTAACCTAGAAAGACTGTCATTACTCTATTCCTTATTTGTCATATGATGCAAGCCAGCTTTGCATAAAACTCAATACTCAAGAGAAACCCTTTGGCTTTGAATGCAATAAAACTATGAAGAGATAGACAAAAACTTTATGGATTCAGACTCAAGGATGTTCCTATTCTACCAGATAATCAATCACAAATGGAATGAATCATTCCATTAAAACATTTGACAACTTTTCTTTAGAAAATTAAAAATACTACATGGTCCCAAACATTTTGGGCTTTTAACTTTAAACTTTCATATAAATGAAAGGGAGTCAATCTAAAAATGTTAATGATTGTAATTAGTATTAATCTTCTTAAGTGTTATAATTAGAAGAGTACTTTTTTCAAAGGATCTCATCTTCTTAGGGAATGGATTGTTTATTTTGGTTCCAAAATAATAAGATAAACTGTAACAGAAACCTGAGAATTGTTGCACATTTTGTAATAAGACTTTTATTCAAGGTGGCTAAAATGATAGAAAATCTAGATTGCTATTTTTCTTAACCAACAACTTATTCAGTTTTTTAAAGTGTATGCTAATGGTTACTAGGCAACTATTTTTTCTCACATAAAAGCTAAAGAAGTAAATAATGAAACACTGATCCATTTGATATTCTTGTGACCTCTCAGTTATTAAACTTAGATTTTTTAATGCATTTAGCTATTCATAGACACCACATTTGTGACTGTGATAGTCTTTGTATCGGATGATACCTTCAACTCAATTTTTTTCACAAATCAATGTGACTAACCAGAATTTATGAATATTTATAAAAAGTTTAAAGAACTACTGACACTTCAAGGTTTTGTTTGGGTATTTAGTTAGGAGACATTATTGTTTTGCTTTGTTTTAAACAGCCCCACTGTGTTTCAAACCACACTGGTCTTCAGCTTATAACCCTCCTGCGTCTGCTTCCTGAATATTGAAATAATAAACATATGCCACCCAATCTTGCACAAGTCTTAATCAATAACATTAGAGGAGATGCAATTGGTTGTAACTTTCACCAAATTTTATTGGAAGAAGAAAATTACTAGAGAGCAGAAGGGTCCCATACATTCCTTCAGAATAAAAATTTGCTAACTACAGAGAGACAAGACACAGGTAAATAAGTTTTTATCATTATTTTTAAGGCCTATTTGAATTTCTGACTTTCACTTGAGCTGTTTAAAAAGCTTTTTGCAAAAAATAGGGAAGTGTGTCAGTCTGTTATAAGCTATGCAGACAGTCTTTTTATGTGAACTTGAAATTAAGGGGTCCCAGAAACTATAATTGCAATGAACATATTGTAAGTAGTACAGCTCCTCACTTTTAAATAATTACTTAAAAAATTGGTGTTTATGTTACAATTGAGTGGTTTGAATATACCTGGCTGTATTTTTTTCACTAAGTACACATATCATAAATGAACCCTGCTAACTATTTCATCAGAAAGAAGAATTACTTTTATGGTTAGAGTCAAAGATTTTGGCAAGAAGAATGTCTCCTTTCTGTAATTAGAAGTGGAAAATACCAGGTACTATTTTCTGTAACTTCAAATGGGGATTTAAACTCTTCACTTGGATTGAGAAATGCCAGATTTTTAAGTTTGTAAATCTTCGTCATCCTCCAAGTTTCTGAGGATGATGCCTGGAGCCTTAAGTGGTTGTTAGTTGGCAACATACAACCCATTAGGAACAATGACTAGAATTCTTTATCCCTGGCAAAAAAAAAAAAAAAAAAAAAAAAAACTCAAGAGCATCATCAGGGGTGAAACTGAGCTCCAGGTTAAAACTTGAATTGCTTGGAGGGAAAAAAAAAAACCTGAGCCAACTTTGCCAGCTTAACATTTACTGTGTAATATCTCTCAGTAGGCATCATACCAACAAGTGGCACACGCCAGTGAGAACAGCTCTTGGATGAAAATTGTTTTGAAACAACTTAAACAATTTTGTAGCTGGATAACAATTTAATTTTGAAAATGTCTTGATTAGTTTGGCTGCATAACAGAACATTTTAACTTTATTTTACATACAGTTACAGAGGATTTGATAACAGTTCTGAGCATTCACAGAAGTTAACTCATATATATATATATATGCATATACATATGATATATATATATATGTGTGTGTGTGTG